CTTTCATAGTGTTTTGACCCCTGTTTGGAGGTTAATTATTTGTCCACAACGGGGACGCTAATATATGCTACCATTCCGGGTCAGGGTGGACCTGGGAACAACAGCAATCAAGAGGTGGTTCCACGCCTCTCAAAACGTCCTGATCAGAGGCCTTGCTGTTAGATGCAGTTTATCGTCTTACCCAGGACGCAGATGTAGTTTATCGTCTTACTCAGGACGAGTATGAAATAGACTCTTCGGTGTTGACCTCAGTGTCCACTTTTATATCTACATTCTCTCTATCTCTGGTATTGAGCTCATTAACCCATAAAAATAGCATAGCTTTAATACTATATATATATATATATATATATATATATATATATATATATATATATATATATACAGAGAGAGACGACAGACAGGGGATAGAGCCCATATAGTTAAAACGAACCAAGAGAAATGGCTTATCTCCAAATGTATTTTGAATGTAATCTGCATATGACAAGGTTAGATATAATATTCTCTTGCTGTTATTTTTATTCGAATTTCGAAATAAATAAATATAAAACAAATACCTTTATTAAGAAACTTTTCACACGTGCCTCATTCTGCTGATATTAATATTTGTCTGTCCTTACCATCTGGGAAGGCCAGGTAAGTTACCTGCAATCGTCCATCATTTTAAAGCTTTTGCGTTCCTATCTTAAGATTCGTTTCATGCACACGCTATTTTAATGTATATAAATCGATAAGCATGAATACATACAACTCTCTCTTTTTCACTTCCTCTTTTTTTCTAGACGCACTTGTGTCCACACACTCACACATTTCTAATAATAGATTCTAATTCTGCCTATCATATGAGACGGATAACGATCTTCCCTGTCTAACGTTATCTTATGACATATACTTTTATCTTTATTAAGATATGTTTTATATACATTGCCTATCTTGATGTTTTTTTACATGTGTTCTTTTTATTTTTAACCTAAACTGACAGCTGTTACTTTTGGGGGTTGTTCGGGGGAAAAAAACTTCTCAAACGACATTCATACATTGGCTACCACTGCACAACAAATTTATGTTTTTAATTATTTGGAAATTTTATTTTTTTAAATTCATTCCCCGAAATCCTTCAGATGATTTTTAGCTATGAGGAAGTTTATAGAACTTATCTGGAGGCTACATTCTATTTTTATGTCTTTCTTGATAAGTTATTGGGTTTCTTTTTCAGGGTTTCTGTTAACAATTGACGCACCATATCTGTCGATTCTTCTTCGACCTCTTCTCCTTCTTCTTCTTCTTCTTCTTCTTCTTCTTTGTTATTATAATTCATCTTTTAATATTGATTTTCTTCTTCTTCTTCTTCTTCTTCTTCTTCTTTGTTATTATAACTAATCTCTTAATATTGATTTTCTTCTTCTTCTTCTTTGTTATTATAACTGATCTTTTAATATTGATTTTCTTCTTCTTTGTTATTATAACTGATCTTTTAATATTGATTTTCTTCTTCTTCTTCCTCTTTGTTATTATAACTGATCTTTTAATATTGATTTTCTTCTTCTTCGATCTCTTCTTTTTCTTTGTTATTATAATTCATCTTTTAATTTTGTTTTTTTTTCTTTTTTGTTCTTCTTCTTCTTGTTATTCTTTTTATTTTTCCTTTTTTTTCTTTTCATCGTCCTCTTCCGTGTTGTTGTTTGTGTTTTTCTTCTCCCCCACCTTCTCTTCTCTCCCACCTTCTCTCCTCCTCCTTTTCATCCTCTCCTCCTCCTTCAAAATGTTATTTTTATCTTCCTCTTTCGATTGTTCTTGTTCTTTTTGCCTCGTCCGCTGCAATGACTTCGCACTCAATTATAAGTTGAATAAGGCCAAAAAGACTGCTGCAAAGAATACATCGCAGAATGAACGAATCAAAATATTACGAAACAACAACAAAAAAGAGGAGACATGCCACCCACCCTACCCTAACATTTTTTAGATAAATAATTTCGATATCACTGACCGATATCCCACGCCGGCTACTGGTAATCGCATATATTAATTTCATAAAAGTACAAATCAGTTTCTCCTCTTCCCATTAACAATAAATTAAATATAGAGGAAATACTGATTAGTAAATAAAAGAAAAACAATACCCAGTGAGGTATATGAAGCTTGACCTTTCACCCTCGACCTTTCAACTGCAGTCGTTGTAACACTAACAATGTTTATATTCATAAAAATGTCTTGTGTGTGTATGTGTGTGTATGTATGTGTGTGCGTGGTAGAATTATTTCTGATAAGAAAAGATGAATATTTTTCCCATTTTACTGCATTTTTACATGAATGACGAGAACATAACATTTTATTATTATGAACTATTGTTCTCATCTTGGTTGATAATATAGACGTTATTCTCGATACAACGTTTCAACTAAGTACCATTTGATCATCATCAGATATCCATTGATATGAGATATCTGTCTTGATGACCAGAGGATTCTTAGTCAAAATGTTGTGTCTATAATAACATCTATATCAACCAAGAACAATAGTTCAAAATAATACAAGAATATTGATAATTACTCATCTCAGAAATGAAATACTAAATTGTGAAGAAAATTATTGAAAATTGTTGGGCTTAATTTATTAAACATTTAATGGCATTGACAAAGTTTTTTTGTTTTGTTTTTTTTTCATCCCAATTAAACCTACTGTCGCACCATTTGGTAGAAAGTAATGATAAGATAAAGAACAAATAGGAAATGTTTATCACTCTAACATGTTTCACATTTATTAAAGCTTCATCACAGAATGAGATATGGAGAAAAAGAAGAAATTCTAGTATCTTTACTTTTGTGTTGTTTCATTATCATTGGTTAATCATGTTTCACGTGCATTCGACTTTTTAAACCAACGTTAGTATAATTTCTATCGTTTCGAGCTCAAGGAGAGATGATGCGTCCATCCAAAGTTTCAAGAAATTAGCGGATACCAACCCTACCTGGAAAATCGTAAACATTGCTTTATGCATGTAAGTGTATAATAATTCTAGTTTGTCTATGTGGGACTCAGATGATAATGTATATTCGTAAGTGTTTGTGTGTGTCTAGTAGACATTATGTTTGTTGGTTTTTTGCGTGTTGATTTGGGAACGTTTTTACTTACATACAGTTAGTTTGAGATAAACATAGGTTACATTCTTTAAGAATGGATACAATAAAGATTGATAATGTAATATAATGTTTGTGACGTGTGTTTATAGTTCGTAATATTGTTATTAGTAGGCTCTTCGTAAAGAATTATGTTCTTTTTTAATTAGGGTGGTATTAGTAAAATCAAAGTTATGGCCAGATGTTTTCATGTGTCTTACGAGCGAGTTTTAATGGTTGTCTAAACATAAATCTATTTTATATTCGTAGATAGGGGCATTTAAATCTCATGATGTTCGTCCGACATAAATTATTTTATATAGTAAACAATTTATTTGATAAGTACCGGTATCTGAACTTGTGCTGCATTTATTTTTCTACTTAATTATATATTCACTTTTCTTGGACGTGATCGTAAAGATCCTAGTATTAGGAATAACTAATTTATTTACAAGTTTAGTACAAAGAGTGTTAGAGGAGAGGATTATGAATGATGTGTTGTTGTTATTGTTTTTAAAAGTGTTATTGGTGGTATATTGATATTAAGGTGACCTTTGGCCTTTGATTCATTGTTTTATTGGAAATTATTCCCCATACTGTAAATGTGTAGAGGCATCTTAAGGACTTATGAATCAGAAATATGAAGTTATAAAATTTGATTCTAATACTATGAATATCTGTCTATATTTCTGAGATGAAGTATTGTAATTATTTACACTATTTACATTGTTCAGACTGTTGTCCTCATCTTTGTTACCATATTCATGACGTTTCGGCCGTTGTACGCTTCAGCCTTTTTTAAGTAATTGGAATTTCGAACTGAACCCATTATTTCGTCCAGCGGGATAGATTGTTCTAGTGCCATGTGCCATCCCTCTTCAGAAGGTCTCAGTTATCTCTCTTTAACTCAACTTAACTTTTTGTTCCCCACTGCAGTAACCAGGTATTGAAGTATTGAACGATTGGGTGAAGTTACTGGATCCAACCAACACTTTTATCTACTGAGCCATGTGTTCTTTTTTGTAGCCTAGCATATGTGCTGATCCCTTAAGTTTTCGTATTTTCCAGTGATGTTCTCTGTCTATTTTTTTTTCAACCATATCCACAGGGCGTGGTGATCTCCCTTTTCCCTCCATATTTGGCCAGCTACGCCTGAATTTTCTATTTCTCGTGTTATGGCTTTAAGATGTTCTTGCAGTCTTACCTGTTCTTTATATTTCTTACTACAGCTGCATGGGATGGCGTACATACAGTGTTTAGTCATGTTCTCTTCTATGTATGGTCTTACTCGGAAGAGGTGCCTGCTTAGTGTTGAACCACTTTTGTAGGTCGTTCCGATGTTATATGTTATATTTTTTTCTTGAGTTATGAATTCAATAGCTGGCTACTGCAGTAGTGAACAAAAACTTAGAGAGTTGAGTTAAAGAGAGATAACAGAGACATCCAGAAGAGGTATAGCACGTGGAACGAGAACAATCACTCCCAGTGGACGAAATAAAGGGTTCAGTTCGAAATTCTAATCACCTGAAGAAGGCCGGAGTCTACAACGGCCGAAATCTCGTGAATATGGCAACAAAGATGAGGACAACAGTCCGAAATATAGTAAATAAAACTATGAAACCTATTATAAAGGAATATAAAGACAACTTACTCATATTAAGACAAATTATATCTTTATTTCTAATACTATGTTATCGCCAAATAACTTATGAATGTCTTCTTCAGTATTTGGTTACATTTTATCGCTCTGTTACGCTTCGTTCTGGGCGTTTCTGTCAGAAAGCATCAGTCAGTAAGACTATCTTTTATTCATTTGGCGGCAATATTTTTCAACCCGCACGGCGATGGAAAGCGAAAATTATATTATCATATTCAACATTTAACTAATTCCTCAAAAAGAAAGAAAGGGAGAAAATGAGGCGAGAAGACGAAAAAGAAAAGATTTTTATCTTTTCTTTTTCGCCTTCTCTTCTATCCTCATTTTCTCGCTTTCTTTCTTTTTGGAAAGAAAGCGAGAAAATGAGAAAATTTCTTTTTAAAAGAGAAATAAAAATAGAAAGTCGAATTAAAAAAAAAAGAGAGAGAAGAGAAACGATGAAAAAAGAAAGACTAAAGAGAAAATAAAAATATACGAGAAAATCTTTCGAAAGAGAAGAGAAACGTTTAGATAAAGAAAATAAAGGAGAAAGAGTGGCAAAGAAGAGCGGCTTAAAAAAGAAGAGGGAGAAAAATAGAGAGAGGATGTGAATGAAAGGGTAGGGAATGAGTGGGATATTCACTAAGCGCCCCACGCGGTCGAATGCGGCACACAGCCAAGTTTATTGTGGGGTATCCGAGCCCGTAGGCTCGGGCAAAAAATCCCCATAGGCTCCGTAAAAAACGGGATCGGGTAGCTTCATCTGGGGATCCTTTCTGCCCGGATGCAGAGAGTTTGACCAGCACACTTCCGAAGTAATCCGGATGGAGGAGCAAAATGAGTGGGGGTAATAAAAAGAAAATAACGGACGTATTCAAAGAGAAAAATATCAGTTTGTTTTCTTTTTTTTAAGGAATATAAAATAATTTTAAATATAAATGCAGAAAACAAATCACAAGGGAGAGAAAGAGAAAGGATAAAAAGAAAGAAAATAATGGTATATAAGATAGAAATAAAAGAAGTCGAAGATAAATAAATGCAGAGTGAGTGAAAAAATAAAGAATAAAAATTTCGTTATAAACAAAAAAAAAAGTGCTGGGCTGCTATATTCCTTTTAAAAACATCATCCGCAGAGAATACTAGACAGTTTCCTCATAGATGAAGAGGAGACTTCAGGTAATAAATAGAGTTGTCGTTCTTCAGGTGTGTTGAAAATAATATGGAAGAATCATGTGAGCAATGATGTTTTAAGGAAAATAAAAACAAAAAAATACTCATGTAGGAAAAAATAGTTATTATTTCTGGGTCACATAATGAGGAAAGTGAGCTTGGAGAAGCTGACACTTACAGGACATATTGAAGATTAGCGGAAAAAAAGGAAAAAATCGAGTAAACTAAGAAGTTTATTTAAATGGATGGTAAAGCAGGGACTAGGAGGGATAGTAAAAAGACAAGCATTTCTAAAAGCTACAAAAGATGGGAAGTTGCAGAGAAGTCCTACAGGGAAATTGCACATAAAAGGAAAACATAATTAAGAAGATAATAAAAAGAAAATAAATAAACCGAGAAAAACAAAAAAGAAAACAAAGATGAAAACATCTGACAAAAACTTAAGAGATAAATTAAAAAAAAAGAAAAAACGGAAAAAAAGGGAAAAACGAAAAAAATGAGGAAAAATTCAAACGCACGTAGAAAAATAAATGCAGTAATTATACAAGTTATTCTTTAAATATTTTGCCCAAAGGAGTTGAAAGAAAAAAGAAAGAAAGGTTAAATTATGTTGCATGACAAGATCTGCTGGGGTAACGATTTTTTTTATGTTTATTTATTTAAGTGTATTTTTATTTATCTCTGTATTTTATGTCCAAGAGGCGTGTCTGGAAAAAAACTGACTGCACCAATAAGTGTTTTTTTTTTTCTTTTGCGACAAGGCAACTTGTATCATCAACGTCAGGAAAATCTTTTCGTCACCCCCAACTTTTCAACAAAATCCCTACAACTCAAGTAATACATCTCAAATATACAGAAGAACATATGCACAGGCCAAAAGAATTGGAAGAAGTTTCTGCTGTTAAGAAAGAAAGAAAGCAAGAAAGAAAGAAAGAAACTTCTCACTGTGGGGTAATGTTTAGCAAACAAACTCTTAGTATAATTATTATTGTATTGAGTTCGATCCTCACTGAGCGCCCTACACTTGTGGCGTGTTTTTTGCCGTTACTAAAATTAATAAATAACTAAACAATTCGCCATTGAGTAAGAGAGCGCGCGTATATCAATATATGCGTGCTTACACCGATGTGTGCATACACTGGAATCTACAGAGACTTTTGCTCTACAGAGTGCTGACTTGGTTGAAAAGAAAATCTTTGATGATAAATCCAGGGGACCCAGCGATATTCATCTTCAAATATATTCCCTACCAATTACTTCATCCATTATCGTAACCAGTTAGAATTTTTACACGCTTAATACACTTTGATGTTCGTCTCGGTAGTCGACAAGAATTTAAAAATATAATTTTAGAAATATTATTTAAACAGTAAAGTTATTAAGATAGTAGATAATAGAGCAGGGCAAAGGTATGGATCAATGGTTAGTGAGTTTGTCTGGCAGACTGTTTATTATGAGGTCGTTTATCATTCACATAGTCACTTGTGACAGTATGCTGTACCAAGTTTAATAAACGCCGCTAGATAGAAAGAATACCCGCTCGGCCCGGTGGCTAGGATCAAAGTGTAGTATCTGCGCTTTGTGAGCTGCCGGGTCGGGTGTCTGTCGAACTCTCTGCTTGCAGAGAGGAACCCGGACGAAGCTCCGCCGAAGGGTGGGGTTTCGTTCGGGGAGGTTGACGGAAATAGCCCGCTTGGACGGGTTTAGATGGGTTTTATTTTTGGCTGGGCCTACGGGCTCAGATATACCCACATTAAAAAGGCCTTGTGCCACATTCAATTCCTGTGGGTGAATTGATAAATACCATCTATTTCATTTAGAAATGTTATGCATTTTTATTTGATGGATGACGGTCTATCTTTTTTCATCTCTTTTTCTTATATTCTTTTCCTTTACCTTTTTTTTAGCAATCAAACAGTCGTCTCTTTGTATTTCTTCGTTCTTTCCTTTCTTCTATTTATTTTTTCCTTCTTTTCTATTTTCTTTCAATTTTTTCTCGCCTGTCTTCTTTTATATGCCGTGTCCCTTCAGAACGTGGACTCGCATGGCTCTCCACAACTTCCTATCCTTTATAGCGTTAAGCAATGTTTGTTTTTTTTTCTATTCCTCCCACTCTATGTTCTGCCATCCACTTACACAAAGCCGTTCAGTAGGTGACCATGGCTCTCCACAACTTCCTATCCTTCGTAGATCTAACTAATATTTGTCTCTTTACTATCCATCCCAGTCCTTGTTCTATTATCCATTTACACAGCTCGTTAGGTAGGTGGTCATGGCTCTCCACAACTTCCTATCCTTCGTAGCTCTAAGTAATATTTGTCTCTTTACTATCCCTCCCAGTCTCTGTTCGGCCATTCATTTACACAAACTCGTTAGGTATATTATTCGCTGTTTCTCACTGCTCCTCTTACCTTCAATATCTCCTGTGAGTTTCAAACTCTCCAAGCCTTCTTTCCTCATTATGGTCCACAAAAATTTCAACCTGTCTCTTTCTGATTTTTACAAGTGTCGTTTTTGCTTCCATTTTTCTTCAAACTTCCTCGCTGTTCACATGTTCCCCATGTTATTCTCAGCACCCTTCTGTAGAACCAGATCTCTGTTGCCTGAAGTTTCCTTTTTATCTATGAGAAAATTGTCCGGCATTCAGTGCAGCAGAGGAGGATTGATCAGGTTGTTCGTCTCCTTATTAGTACTGAATGAAATTTGAATTCATTTCAGTTTTAATGGCTTGCGAGATCAGCAAGCTAACTATAAGTCTACGACATTTCGTTTCGCCTGAAACTTTTATTAACTTTCCTTAGAAATTTACTATTCAAATATTTTTTTTAATTTTTATTTGCCACAGAGAGGATCAAGCGTGCAAATTCCAACTGGTTGGATGAACGTGTTGATAGGGAATAGATTTGAAGATGAATATCCATGGGTTTCTTGGATTTATGATAAAAGACTTTTCCCTGTGGAACCAAAATATCTTTGGATTTTAGCGCATATGCACAAGCGCGCGTGCAAAATAACATTACAAATCTACATGAAACGGGTTCTTCACGTTCGCGTACATTTATGTCTTATAAGGGCTTCTATCATTTAAGACGTTATCTAATGTGTCAAGATGTACAGCTACGTTATGTAATTATGATTAAACGCTGTTTTAACTAGGTAAAGGGGGATGATGAGATCCCTTACGAGGCATTTCTTTATATCCTGGCTCTTCTTACACTGACAATTATTCTTGAAATGAATCAAGACAATGAATGCAGGCAGTGAAAGCACCGATTGTTCTGAAGCGGTTCAGGAGATATTTTGCAGATATGACGTCACCCCAAAAATGCTCCAAGCTCTTAAAATGCGGCTTTTGATAACGGCTTTTGTCTAGACTTAGTTGTCGGTCTCTTAAAACTAGCAACAACTGAAAAGAAACTCGTTGACCTAAGAAATGTTATATAAAGCAAAGTTTTAAAAACTCTGCATCTTGCTTATGAAACGCTTATATCATTTATTTTCTTTCTTATTTTATTTTGTTAATGCATTCATTTTAATATTATTATTATTATTTCCTTTCACTTCTGTTGTATACACATTTCCTTCCGGGTCCTAACCAGAAATCTAAGGTCAGAAATGGTTTCATGACATTTCCACTAATAATTTTTGTAAAATAAAACAAAAAAAAAAACTAATAGCACACACATTTTACATAGATAAAGCTCTTGATAATGTGGGAGCTGTATTTGTGAGTGCAATTTTTTGTATTTCTTTAAAATAGGTACCTCCACTTTTTCGCTAAAAATGCATGATGAAAAAAGACCCCAAACTTAATAAAAGTTTTATCTCCAAATTGCTTATGTTATTATTAAGAAGACAGATCAAAGTATTTTTTTAATTATTTAAAAAAAAATTTAAACTTTCTAATACGTTCGAAATTTTGTTTAAAAATCTTATTTTGCGGGGGATTTTTACGTCAGCGATTGACGTAAGTTTTACGATTAGTATTTTTGCGCTTTTTGAAAAACTTTTCACATTTGAAAATGTGAAAAACAAATTGATTTGGAAATTCTTGCAAACATCAAATAAACTTTGTTTTAGAAAATCTTGGTAAACTTTTTTTTGCATATGTTAAACAGGTCCGCTTACTTACTTAATTTCATGAAATTTCGCGGAATTAAATTTTCTTTCCAAAAATATTTTTTTAGTTAAAAGTAGGACTACTTGGAGAATGTAAATCAACCAATTCTTTTTCAAACTTTTACTATTTTTACTGAAAATCTACTCCGACTGGTAAACTAAAAAATGTAATAAAACTATGACATTATTTAATCACAAAAGCTTTTAATTGCTTTTGTAAATAAGTCATATTAAGGACACTATTGTCTTAAGAAAAAAGATTTCCAATGAGTAATGAAATTT